AGTGCACCATGTCACTGCCAAACGAGCCCTATGTCTGAACATCATCATCTCAGAGGGGTGATCTGTGTCGATTAAGTGCTTTTCCCAGCCAGAAAGTCTGTCTCTGACAATGCTACCAAGAGCTAATTCATAGAAAAATGTGTTCATTGTTCACCATGATGTCATTCTCCAAGATTAGAAAATGTTCCCCAAAAATCCTTTATGTTCATTTACCAAAACCTTATATGCTTGGTCTGCACTTTCCTCAAGGTAACATGTTCCATATAGTCACTTCTTCTAGGAAAAAAAAGTACTTCTATATCTCCAACCAGACTTTGTGCCCAAGATTTAGATCCACAGTTCATGTGGATGTCTGAAATTGAATTTATCCTCTTCTCCTCAAAATCAGTTTTCCTCCTGATTTTCCTGACTTGCTAAAAGCATCACCAATAGCTATGTATGGAAACCTCGAGGAGGCTTTTCAGCCACCACACCTTGTCAAACTTTACTCCTCAATCTAATAATTATAAAAGTCAAGAAGCAACTATATTTATAGCATCCTTCCAGTCTGCCTCTCTATCCCATTCTCATTTCTACCAGCTACTTTACAATCTAACCTAGATCATCATTACTCTTGCCCCTGCTACCTAACTATTCAAATACATCCCAACACACACTACTGCCAAACTGATTTTCCCAGAGGGCAACTCTGCTGAACTAAAGGCAGACTCTGCCATACAAGCCTTTCCCCTGATCATGGCCCAGACTCCCGTCTCACCCTATGCTACATCAAACTCAATAACTTTTTGTTCCATAAAACAGAGAGCAAATATTTTATCCCATTTAGTTTCTGACTTATTGCCTGTCTCATCTTGGACCCTCCTTCTGGAATGTGTTTCTCCAGAAACTTCCCTTGTTGAAACCCTACCTTTCCTTCACAGACCATCTCAAGCACCGCTCATTTCTTAAAGACTTTCTGATGTGCTTCCATAATTCCCAAATGTGGTAGAGTAGAATTTCTCCACACTTTCAGCCTCGATAACATTTTTCTTGGCCTTATCTGCTTCAATCCTTCATTATGATCCATTATGTTCACCTCAACCACCACACTTAAGAAATTTTAAATTTCTTAAGGGTAGGGACTGCTTTAATCCTTCGCACAGTGCCTTTTACAGTGGGCACTCAGTACATGTTTTCCATGGAACAGAAAGGACTCCTGTACAGAAAATGAATTTGTAGGAATGACCTGCCTTACACTTTTTACGTACCACCAAAGGATAAGCTAGATAGCAGGTATTCACTAGTTTTAATTTCTTGATTAATTAGTGAATTTTAGCGATGCTGCGCTTGCACCCGGCCTTCATTCACACAATCTCATGGACTAGAAGAGTGCTTCTTCTCCCCAGTCGTTCCAACCATTATGCAGACTAACTCCTTCTGGGCCTTCAAAGTTGATTTTGATCAGGACTTTTTCCAGAAAGTCTTTTCCGACCCCAAGTCTGGCTTCATGGGCATGCAATCTATGCAGTCTCACAGAGCCCAACACTTAGGAGGGTGCCACATTTGGTGTCATGTTCTGTTGTCACCATCTTGAAATTCTTAACAATTTTTTAATACACAACTTTTATTGCATCTTTAAAATATCACAAATAAGTCTGAGGAATCATTCAACATCTTGACCTTCCTATAGCTGGACAATTTAGACCTTATTCATCAGTCTGCTGAACTGTTCCTTTTACAGAAACATAGATACCATCCAAAATTTTTCTGATATTCTCGTTTTTAACTGTTGTGTTTTGTTGAATCAAAGCAGTTGAATTTGATACAAGTTCAATGTCATTCCCTTCAAGAATTAACTCATCTTTCTGGGCTTGAGATTCTGAACAAGCAACACCTGACCTCATCTGAACTTTATGGATGTATTTTTTTACCCAAGAAATTTCGTATTTCAATAAGAGAACCATTCTCCTAGTAACGATGGTGATGGGGAAGTGAGCATACACAGGCCTCATCTTGTAACAGAAGTTCAGTGTAGCACCCTTGATCATGTTCTGTACATGACTACAGATAGTGAGAACAGTAGCCAGTTCTTTTCTATTGTCCCACCATTTGTCGACCCGGAGCCTCTTCTTTTTTTTTCCAAAGAGACTGAGTTCTATGTTGATATGATTAAAGTCCCTCCACAGGATGCTTCTGGGCCCTTCACAATAACTGTATGTCCCTTCAGAGTGATGTCCGCATTTTCTGGAATGTCGACAGTCTGCTGAGAATGATCTTCATCCCCACAGCAGATGCAGCGAAAGCCTTAATAATCTTTTAACAAAGGTCCCTGCATTTCCCACTTTGCACTCAACTCCGCAAACTAAGTATTACCAGTCCTGCCTAACCCTTCCTCTCCTATGTGCTTCTGTCATCCCCTGTATTTTCCCTATTTTTGCCATCGTCACTCTGTTTAGTACTCTGTGTGCCTCTGAAGGCAAAATAAGAAAAGAATTTTGTTTATTCTTATATCCCTATGGCTCGGCCTAGTATTACATAAATTATCAATATTTGCTGATTGGATAAATGGATGAATAGTTGACAGAAGGCAGGGAGGAAGGAATGAATGAATGAATGAATATATTTGCCCACTTATTACCCCTGGGCAGCCAGAGCATTAGAGGTCTTTGGCCTGCAGTCTTCAGACGGGGCCCTATAGCAGTAACAGAATTTTAGTATAGAAACTACTGTTGTTAGGAGGGTAAGATCAGCTCAAGGAAGAAAATGGACAAAATAATGACAGAAAGTGAAAACATTAAGCAAAAAGAGATTAATAAAGAAAGAACCAGCAAAAAGACTCGTAATATAGAACTGTTTTGAATACAGACGTAGAGATCATGAAGCTACCATTAGGATGCTTTTGGAGGAATAAGGTGTCTTCGCGATTAAATAATACCCTGCTTGCTTTTCCTAATGTTTTCTGTTAAGTCTGGACCCCTGGGAGATATCTAGATAAAAGGCACTCACCAGAGAGGAAATATGCGTCACTGTCTTTATCTGATGCCGCGTCATCCTCCTAAGTACTTTAACTTCATCTTTTCATTAGTAGTTTGCAGATCATGCAGGTGCAAATAGAAATCATGGAATTTTATTTCTAGTTTATAATTTCCAGTCTTTAGGGCTGATTTAAAGTATAATCTAAAGTATCTTGAATCATCATACGCATGAGTCGAAAGTATGATAAGTAATTATTAGCATTGTGAACTAGGCGTTTTTTACTAGTGGACTCCATTTCCTTGGAAATTTCCTCTATTTAGAACGATAACTACTTCCCTCTCAGTTTGAAGAGATAGAGAAGTATACCCAAAAGTCTTGCGGATCCAAGCGTGTTACTGCCATTCTCATCTATTCATGCCCATTCGGCAACACTGACAGGTGACAGGACAGACAGTTCAGAACAGAGAGTGCTTGAACCCTCTTTTTTCTACACAGCCTTGGATGAGTTACAAAATGTTCTTAATTCTTTGTTTTCATATCTGTAAAATAGAAATATTGCTATTTTTACTCCATAAATATGTGTGGATAATGTGGATAATGCACGTGAAAGGGGCTTAGTCCTGTGTCCAGCTTATAGGAAAACTCTGAATCCCAATAATTGTTAGCATGTAGAATATAAGCAGTTATGAACGTCCACTCTGGTTCTGTGTTGGGCTAGATATATAAAGAAATAAGAAATACATGGTATCACTTAGCAGTTGGAAAACGTTGTCTCAAGAGGGCCAGAGGGTAAATATTTTAGTCTCGCACACCATACTGTCTGTCACACTACATTATAGTGTGACATAGACAATACATAAATGAATGGGTGTAGTTGCGTGTCAATAAATCCTTAGTTATAAAAACAAGCACTAGGGGCCAGATTTGTTCTCAAGGCCAAAACTTGCCAATCCCTGACTCTAGGTCCTTGAAACCTCCAATTCTAGTGCAGCGGAAGGACTTGCATGGCTTGTCAAAGCAAGCCAAGAGGCGGCAGGGACTGACTCCACTGCCATACTAAAGAACACAGAAACTGATATTTTAAGGAAGATTATTGTATGAGCTTCCCAGAGATAAATCAAAGTAAAAAATATGGCCTAGAACAAGTAGCCCAGATATCGTTGTTTGGAATTTTATTTATTTATTTATTCGTTTGTTTGTTTATTATTTTTATTTTTTTATTATTATTTTTTTTAATCTTGCATTTCAGGATAAGTAACTTCAACTTTAAAATAGAGACTTCCCTCTTATTAGACATTTCCTTGAGAACTCGGCTCCCCCTCTGGACCTCACAAGTTCCATATTGCTAGGAATAAAAATGCCTGTGAATTGTCCTGACTTCCAATCCCTATCATGTGTGAACAGAGCCAAGAAGTCCTTTCTCTAGTTGCTTGGCTGTAAAGTAATGGAAAGCACATGGATATCAGAGAAAATCATTCCCTTCCTTTTCTACTCTTGTTATTTTTCTAAAGAAATGACACATGAGACTCCATGAGCAATGTTAGACTCTAAAAGTGAGCCAGTGAGTTAGTAACAACCACTTAGAACATGACGGTTCACCAAAACTGCTGAATGTGAGGCAGATTCTGCTTCTCTAACAGCAAAGCGGCTGCAGCACATGCTTCCAAGATAGGAAAGCAAGAACGCACTTTCTGGGCCTTTCTTGGGACTCTGCTTGGGAAAGGAGTTTATGGGGGGATTCACAGATTCTTAGATGTAGACATTTAAATACAGCATGTCACACACACACACACACACACACACACACACACGCACACACACACACGCAAAACCTCTTCACTAATAAAGTTGCAAAGGAGCCTCATTCGCACCATACATCATATTGTATTTTGCTTTTCCAAAAAGCTAGTCCCTTTTAGGACTTTTATGATTTAATCGATGCTAATTCAAATGGATCTGGTGCTTTATTCTTTAAAAAGAAGAAATTAAGTCTGCCATGATAAGACAAGGTTCTCATCAGAATTCTCTTTTTTGTTGTTTTTCAGCTTTCTCCTTGTATTTGGTTGCTTGATTTTGTCAGTGTTTTCCACCATCCCTGAGCACACGAAATTGGCCTCAAGTTGCCTCTTGATTCTGGTAAGTGAAACATATGAACAAAAATGTATATAAAGTTTATGTAATATAATAACTGTCTATAATATTTACGCAATGCATTTTATCCCACAGAAAGTTCTATCTAGGAAAGAGAGTTACTGTGAGGTATAAAAGTTTCAAAGATTACTGAAACATTTGAAGATTACTTTAACTTTTGGTCAATTCTCAAGAATATCTAAAAATACTCCGGATTGCTATTATATAGCAATATCTTGTGTTATAGTTCAAGATAAATAGAAGGCAATACTTGGAAGTAGTTTTAACAATGTTAATCTATAGGAAGTAGTTTTAACAAAGTTAACCTATAATAATAAACAAATAATTATAAGAAAAATCAATGTCTGAGGTCTCTCATTATTTGCTAAAAGTTACAAAATAGAGAGCATTTTCCAAAAACACAATTTGGCAGTAGCTAAGTATAATTGGCCAAGAACTATGAGGATACAGCACCTCATTAAAAAAAAAAAAAAAAAGACTCCTTTATGTTCTTTTCAACCAACAGACTGCATTGTAAGTTTTGCCGCTAATATAGTTACCTGGTAAGAATTTCTATATTTTGCTGTCAATCTTCAACTGCACAGAATTGCTCAATCCATTTTAAAATGGAAAAAGATCCCAAGATATTTTATTCTGAACTATTCTGGGCTTTTTAAGCTCTTATACTTTCTATTACAACTAAACTATAGCACTGTATACTCAAATTACATCTGATTGAAAGTTTGGTTCATTTACATCAGTTTTGACCCACTCACTTAGCCCAAAAATATCAGACTTGACAGTCTCAGTACTGTCTGAATGAACTCTAAACTGGAACTCACTTTTGCTGTAAAATCCTGGTGAATCAAAGAGCAAAAGAAGAGAGAGAAATAGGGGATGGGGTAAGATGGCTGTGTGCCCTAATAAGCAGAGATTGGTTATGTCCTGTAATAATCATTTAATATGAGAAAATTATTCTTACCTTGAAGGTGGAAACTGAAAGATGTCAACTTGTATAACCTGAGCAGAGAACAACTGCTCTTCCCACCTATGCTGTCAGGTGGCTAATTTGTTCTTGATGTTACTAAGAGTTCAAGTCTCAGTCTTACATCAGGGGGAAATCATTTTTGAGCCGAGACAAATCTATCTCAATTTGTTTCCATATAAATTGTGCTTAGCTGTATATCACTAATGTTAAGGTTACTCTTTGAAAATCCAAGACAGAGAGTTGATGGACCAAAGACCACACTGTGGATTTCTTCCATTTAAAAGATTTCCATTTGGGTCACGGTGGGCTTTTAGCCTTATGTACCCCTTTGATAACAACAAATGACCTGAGTCCAAGGTCTAAGGCACAGCTGACTTTTAGGTTCATCTACAGAACTACAACCAGGAATTTTAGAGTGAAAATATAGAACTGATTTTTAAATTTAGGAACATGAAAAACTAAATCCACTGCATGACCAATGATAAATACTGTGAGTAAACCAAGCATTAGAAATCTCACAAAATGTTAAGTTTACCTTCCCATATCTCCAAAACATAAATTCAGTCATTGCTAATGAGTTTTTAAATTGTCCAAAGGAGCCCAAAGCTGATTAGTATCTTGATTTTTAAAACTTTCTGAGCAGTAAACAATTGATCAAGTTTAGGCAACTAGGGTTAATTTGAGTAGATAAAAATGTAGATGTTGTCAGATATCCCTGTCTCTTTTTTTTTTTCCTCACTTTATTGAGATATAATTGGCACATAACATTGTGTAAGTTTAAGGTGTCTAATGTGATGATTTTCTATATATAAATATAGCAAAATGATTACCACAATAAGGTTAGTTGACATTTTATCGCCTCACATATGTACCATTTGAGTGTGTTGGGGTAGGGGCTGACAACATTTAAGAGCTACTCTTTCAGCAACTTTCAAGTATACAATACAGTACTGTTAACTACAAATACCATGCTATATATCAGATCCTCAGAATTTATTTGTTTGATAACTGGAAGTTTATACCCTGTGACCACCTTCACCCATTTCCCCCATGTCCCAGCAATGCAACCACCAATCTTCTCTCTGTTCCTATGAGTTCATTTTTTTGTTTTGTTTTTTAAATACCACATTTAATAAATGAAATCATACAGTATTCGTCTTTGTCTGTCTGACTTATTTCACTTAACATAATTCCCTCAAGGTCCATCCATGTCGTCGCACATGGCAAGATATCTTTCTTTTTGTGCCTTTTATATTCCATTGTGTATATATGTATATATACCACAGTTTTTTAATCTATTTATTCATCAATGGACTCAGGTCATTTCTGTGTCTTGGCTATTGTAAATAATGCTGCAATGACGATGGGGGTATTGTTATCTTTTTGAGATCCTGATTTCCCCAAGAGGAAGCTTTCATCATTCTCATCCAGAATTCCACTCTCAAGGCGACTTGTAAACTCTTAACTTACTTGCCTCAGTAACAAGTTAAATGGATCCCTATGTTAATTTGCTCTTTTATTCTTTTCAGTGGTATGAATTGGGGTTTTATGTTATACACCAGATTCCCCTATTTCTCATCAGGGAGCAGTGAAGCAAAGACTTAAAAATGTGATTGACACCATGAGTTCAAATTCCACTTCTACCATTTTTTGGCTGTGTGACTTTGGGAGATCACTTCTCTGTCTTAGTTTTACCATCTCTTAAAAGTAGATAATAATACCCTATTTCATAAAGTTGTTGTGAAGATTGGTTAAATTCTAGTGCTTAGAACTGGTCCCAGCACAGAGAAAACTAGCAATTATTATAATCACATATATAAAAATGTTTTGTAAATTTTTCCATATATTATGGGGGTCTAACAGGGACATGAACACAGGTGAACCGTGGAATATTTGAAAATACAAAATTGAGAAAATATCATACTTTTCTAAAAGAAAGCAAATATCTTTGCAAGACTTTTCTCCCCACAAATATTGTTAATTAAGGCAGCATTCTGCACAAATGTGTTCATTTAACTAAAATGACTCAGTGGTATGCATTCAGCAATGAGTATGTGTTCACAACAACCACTTATTTTTAGTGACTAATGAAACAGATTCTTATTGTTGTGGTTTTTTGGTAAATGCATCTGATGACAATGCCCATGGCTTTATAAGTTATTCTCTCAGTGTCTGCATCCATGGAGTGGTGCACTGGGCAGGCTTAACTGCGAATCTGACAAGGGTGCTAGCTCTGCCTTCACTCTGGGGATGAAATTTATGAACTCTAGAGCATGATATGAAGATGTGTGCTCAAACACCAACAACAAGTAAAAGCTGGTGTTAATTTCCTATGTTTTGTAAATTCTTCAAAACCAAAAGGGAGCTAGCATTTTTTAAGTAACTGTTATGATTCATTGATTTCTTATTAAAATAAAAACAGAACAAAAAAAAATTTGCAATATAAGTATTACTCTTTACATTTTACTGAATGGTTAACTAAGTTGCAAGATCATACACCATGTATAAGATAGACCCAAGATTCCATCCCGGGCCTGGCTGACTGAAAACCTGGACTGTCTTTAAAGCATCCAGCAACCTCATTCTCTTGCTTCTCAGTCAAGACTGACAGGTCTACCAAAGTGCGTTTGCCACCACTCGATAAAGCACTGATGTCTAAGCCTTCTTTATAGTTCCAAATATGCTGAGTGATGCCTACATCCTTTTACTTGGGATGTTAGTTTCTTTTTTTCATAAAGGGTCCACTTACAAAGTTATCACAAATTAGTATATCAGTATATACCTAGTCAGACAACTTAAAGTTCTTCATAGCAAAAATTCTAAATACAATTTTATAAACAATCAACAGCCTGATCTGTGGGGTAAATAGTCAAGTGTAAAGTTGTGACTTCCAGCTCACTTTGTTAAGATGAGCATCAGGCTGTTGAAGGGAGTGATCCTGTTTCCAGGTTAAAGTCCTGTGGAAAGTGTGGGGGTTTTATTCGTTTTGATTTCATTAGCCTGAGGTTATATACTTAGCATTTCATATCCCACCTTCTTAAGAACAATGCTGTTTAGAGGGTATTTCCTCTCAATTGGATAATTTCCTGCCTTCCAGATTAATTGTAAAGTATTCATTTTAGGTCTTTAATGTATATTGTTCAAAACATTGAAAATAGGAGGCCTCTTCACTTAATAAAAGTGATATATATCATTTGCAAAGTTTTCACTGAACATAGTCATTTCTAAAAGTGCACACCCACAAAGAATAAAAAGGAAGGCCATTATCAATTTAGCAAGATAGAGAATGTCTCAGCGACTTTGCGCCTCTATCCTCCTACTGTGTCAGAAAGACTCCGAACCACAAATAGATTGTACTAAGCATCTGGACAAGTAGTCAAACACATGGCCAAATATTTGTCCAAACATCTGGGTGTTTGGCACCTTCTAGATAGAGCATATGCATATTTACTGGTTTTGCTTCATGTAGCAAAGCAAACATGGGTTTGCTATTTCTTTGCACAATGAATCAGTTCCTGAAATGTGTACAAATCCAATTTAAGCAGATCTAATTATATCTTAAATACACTGGTGGAGCTTACTATTTAAAGAAAATCTGTAGTGAATCCTGTAAAGAGAAGAGTCCCCTTAAAAAGCTAATAACAGCTACATAATTAATCTGTTACACGTTTGTTTTCTTTTTCTAATGTGAGCGCCCATGGCTTTTTTTTAAATTGCTTCATAACTATCCATGATATAACATGGCATTGAAGAATTAGAGAGGTTGTTGCCATTTCTCATCTATCAGTATTAGTGGAGAGGGGGAAAAAAATCAGTCAAGAACACATTTTCCTGTCCTTACAAAGCAGAAAGATTTGCACGTAAAATTGTACAGATTGGTGCAAAATAAGATTACATTGTCTTTACATTTAAAGCTTTGGCATTAAACATTGTAAAAAGAGATAACAGAGTGTAAGAATAAGAATCCATTTGCAAATATTAAATTTAATGTTTGTATTGGAAGTGACAAAGTCTGAGA